TCACACAGCAAATAAGTAGCCATAAACAAAATACCAGGCAATGATCTAGCTACCAAAAAAAATCAGCTAAGAGAAGTCCTAAAGCACTGGGATTTACCACAATTGCTAGTAAATCAATATTTATTTGTGGATTTGAGTAAGTATTCCAAGTAGGGATTACTAGTCAATGTGCCCAAGCTTCATAACCTTTTACATGAAATATACTGGAATTATTTGCTCTATTGTACTGCACTTCAAACTGCAGCAGGCAGAACAGTAGAAGTACAAATGTACAGCCTTCATGCACAGTAATATTTACAATAACAGAATTTTATTGCAAGATAAACCACTTGAAAATTCCTTCTTGGCAATTTATGTGAAAATCAGAATTGCCACTAGCCAAAATTTCTCCATTCAAATGTCATCAAATCTGCAATGAGCTTAATTAATGAAGATAAAGGCAGCATTTGTCTCCTTAAAATGAGGCATTAATTGTCTGAAGGTGAGGATTCAGCTTTAAGGTTAGACAGTATCTGCAGCACGAGGGAGCTCCTTTTCTAGAGGAGGCTTTCCTCAGCTTGAAAGATAAAGCAGAGACCAAGGAGACTCTTCAAAAGCTATTAAAGGTCTCTCTTCAAAAAGAATTTAAATATAACAGCATTTACTGCACTCGTGGAATTCAATATTATAACTGGTAAGAGCACGCCCACTGTGGAAACCCAGACTCCTGGAAATCCATCAGCTTGGAGAAAGGCTGGGATGTCAACAAAGGTTTTTTCATGGGCTTTGGACTTAAAAGCTCCAAGTTTACATTTAGCTGACCAGAAAATACAGATCCTCGTGAAGGAGACTCTTTTTTCACCTCACCTAATTCCAAGTGAATGGATTAAATGTGGTCACCTCACCCAGGAGTGCCCAAGGCTGCTACAGGAGGAGAAAAGGAGCTGCAGAGGAAGGTGAGATTTACCCTGGGCCACAGCAAGAGGTGAAGGCCCTGCAAGAAGTTACACCTGGAATTAATTCATGACTGTAACACAGCTTAGTTTGGCACTTTCACTGTTCGTGTTGTTCTCCACGTTTTACTCATTCTTATCTTTGAAGTTGCTCTTCACAGTAATTTAAAAATAATAATGCTAAAGTACATGTTTTGAAATTTTGAACAAGGCAGACATTTTGGAAAAAAAATATATATAAAATGCTCACTAATCACCTTTTTGCTCCCCAAACACTTCAGAAAAAAGCAGAACTCTCAAGACCAGTTTCTCATTTTGTAAGTAACTGAAGCCAAACTTTCTGGCAGTGCAGTGAATGCTGGTAGCGCCGCACAAGCCATCCCAGCTAAACAATTCTGACAGTCTCTACTGGCATAGCTGCACTTGAACATGATGGCTGGACATGTAAAATGCACAAAAAGGAGATTACTATTAATATGCAAAAGCATTATGCATCAAAAGCCAGGCTGGCTCTGTCTGAAGGCTGTAACTCTTAATGAAAACTGAATTTGAACAAGAGTACTAAATGATATTATTTATTTTTTTTTCCTTACAAATGGACTTTTACCCATAAAGAAACTCCCCACCAAAGACTAAATCTGAAGGGGATGTTTCTGCTCTCCTTGTGGCATGATCTAATCCCAACATCAGAGCAGTAAAAACACAGAAGGTTTGCTTTCCTGCTCTTTGGAAAATAAAGAATCATGCTTTCCAATTTCATAAGTCTCCTAAACTTGATACTCAAAAAGAGAACTGTGAATCTGATACATGACATTGCTGTGCCTGAGGGCTTAACAGTTTATTTCTGTATTAGACTGAGAAAACAAAATGAAAAAATGAAAATGAAGGCAATAAAAACACCTGAATTGACATAAAGAAATACATAGAATATGATCTAGTTTTAAACTCAAATGGACTGCTGAATAAGGAATTAGAAGAAAAATCTCCCTATTGGCAAATTTTAGTATAAAGGGACAGAACAGGAGCCAGGCTTCAGTGTCCAAATAATTTCTATATATTACAGCAGTGCATTGGCTGGGTTTTTTGTTTGTGGTATTGTTTGGTTGTTTTTTGCCAAGGCTTGCAATGGCTGGAAGAAAAAATATAATAATTATTTTTTGTTTTCTCTATTTAAATAAAGTACGGCAAAGCCAGTGTTAGGACACACAGTTTGTGATGGCAAGGAGTCAGAATTTTAGGACAGAAAGTTAACATAAGTGGCGTCTCCAGGTCTTACCCTGGACATGATGTTTGCAATGTGCCCCTTCATCTCCTGAAGGAGAAAATTTTTATGCATTTACACACAGAGTCCTCCTTGTTTCATTTCTTTGAACTCTCTCTTTTTTCACAGCTTTCCTTCCCCTTCAAGCACCCTTCAGAAGCTGTTTTTCCTGTTAAACCTCAGGAGGAGCTTTAGGAACATTCCTTTCTGGGGAGGAGAGAGCAGCAGAGCTCTGTGAGGCAGTGAAGAAAGCAGAGCCTGTGCCCTGCAGGGCTGGAGCAGCCCAGGCACTGCCCCTGGTGCCTTGTCCTGCCCTCCAGGAGCAGGAAAGTGAAGCCAAAATGCACAAGAGTGCTCACAAACTGCAGGGGAGTTTTTACACACTCATGAGATGGGGGTTCACCATTTCATCAAATTCCTCCTCACACATTCCAGACAGGAATTCTACCCCAGTTCCCCAAAGACCAAGGGCAATCGGCACGTTCAGGAGGGGTGAAGGCTCTACAAGAATCAGAAGTTGCAGGAAGTTACACCTGGAATTAATTCATGACTTCTCCACAGCTTAGTCTGGCACTTTCATTGTTGATGTTGTTCTGCATGTTTTACTCATGTTTATCTTTGAAGCTGGTCTTCAGAGTAATTTAAAGATAAAAATGCTAAAGTGTGTGTTTTGAAATTCTTCTCCTAACAAGGCAGACATTTGCAAACCCCACATATATATATATTTAATACTCAGTAATCACCTTTTTGCTCCCCAAGGTAAATGGACAAAAAGACCATGGGATCATTAGTCATACAGATATAATCACACTTCAATAAACAAAAACCCAAGGGACACTGTTTTTTTTAATTAGATCCTCTCACACTCTCCTCTTTGATGAACTATGAAGACTGACAACAGATAAAGGAAAAGCAATTCAATATAGGACACTGCAATAAGGGGCATGGTTTGAAAGACATTATCTGCAAAGACAGACAATGTCAGGGTTCATAAGCCAAGATCAGCATCATCTCCTTTTCTGCAGCTGTGATGTTATTTCACAACACTGAACTGCACAGAGCTCTTTCAAGAACTGTCTTTTTGCTTATAGGCAAAGCAAAACAAAAATGGTTTTCTATGGGCAGGCAGAATACCTGCTGATCTGTCTTAATAAAGAGGTTAAAATAAAATTCTCCAAACTGTTAGACAGCTTGTGTCCACATTTACAGCCTGCTCTTACTAAAACCTGTTTTGAAATCAATTCAGCCCCAGGATTCCCAAGTGGATTTTAGCAGCCTGCTGCTCCAAAGGTCTCTTTGGGAGATTCATGCAGTTGAAGCAAACAGGTCATGTTACCATGGAACACATGCCCAAATAAGAGGTTTTTATGTCAGGATTGAGCCCTTCTGCAGAGTTTTGAGGGAGATGGGTCAGGCAGCTGGAAATCAGAAATTCCTCAAATTGCATCTGGCTCAACTCCTGTCTCTGCAAGTGCTGACAGAGACTCCACACAACCTCCTCAGCGACAGCAATCCAACATTAAATCTGGGATGTACATCCTTGATGGGTGCTCCAGGCTCCCAAGCACGCCAGCTGGCTTTTGGAATCAGGAAAATCAGCTTTTCACTGGACTTCTTGCTGGTTCTGCAATCTACCAACTCCCCATGGCCACCAAACTGACACTTGGCAAGTACCCAGCTGCAGGGAGTGACTGAAATAGGTGCAGAGAAGGGGCTGGGAGGATGGACACTGGTTTAACAATGTCACTTCCCTTTCTTTAAAGTTCCTGACTAAGCCAAAACCCAATCCTGGCCTTCTGAGCCTCCATGAGAAGCTGAATCCATCTACCCTGGAGCTGTGCCCAGGACTCCAACCCTCTGAGCACAGCCAGGACACAGGCACTGCTCAGGGGAGGAAGGGGATGGAAGGAGAGGCTGGCACAGGAGGAGATCCCAGCCAGGGCACTGCCTGGGGCAGCCACAGCATTTCCCTCCATTCCCCCTGGAGTTCTTGGAAAGCAAACTCATCTATCCACAGCAGAGCTCGGAGATAAATCAGTCCATTTTCACACTCCATGCTACAGGCACTGTCCTGCTCCCCAGAGCTGTGCTGGCCATCCTCAAGAGGATGCACAGGGGACATCTGGGCACTGCCCTGCTTTTGGCAGGGCTGGCAAAGCCAGGGGCACAGAACTCACCAGGGCAGGAGAGGAGCTGCTCCTCTCCCCTCACACCCTTGGGGAGCAGGAGAAGCTGAGCAGGGAGATCACCAGGGCGAGCCTTGTGCTGCTGGGAGTGAGCACTGAGCTCCACAAGGGAAGGGAAAATGACTCTGCAGGGCTGGCACGGCAGCAGAGAGGAGACCTCAGCAGCAGCACCAGCTCCAAACTCCCAGAGCTGTCTGGCACAGCAAGAAAAGCAAATCTCTGCACCAATTCAGCAGCTCAGCAACAACCCAGGGCTGCTCCTCAGGAATAAACCCCTTTCCAAAGCAGAGTTTTGAGAAAAGCTGCAGCAATCAAGAATGTGGAGTGTCCACTTAAAGACAAACACACATTGCAGCTCTTCAATCAGCACAGCTACCAACAGCACCCTTAATGCACTCCAATATCTTCTGCTTGCTTGGAAACCACAGCCCCACGTAGCAAAGGCTCTTTTCATTCACTCACTTTTCATATTTTGCATTATTTAACATGCTTGTTTGGTTTTTAACTCTACATAACTTGTGCATTTCAAAGCCTCTGGGTTCTCCTCCTCAAGCGTAGCTGAAACCTTGAATTTTTGAACTCATGCACAGCTCTACAAGAGAAGTTAGAGATTATTGTTACCTGCAAGGCAGCCAACAAATGACACCAGGAACAGCTGCTCCCACAGCAGCAGCAGCATCTTCAGCCTCCTGAATTCAGTAATTCTGGCTCTCTCACAGGAACTGTGTGTTTGAGTCTTTCAGGTGGCAAGGTTTAACCTGTTAAAAGAACAGACAAAAGTGAATGCCTTGATGGTCCTTAGGAACTGGATTCCTTGATAACACACTTTTTAAATAAATACAAAGTTGGCATATCCTTTAATGTTCCTTTTTTTTCCAGGACTTAATCCCCCAACACAAGGGTGCATCCATATTTCACATTTTTTCATGTACATGAGGTGCTGGAAGTTTTATTCTCCAGCAGGAGCAGAGCTGACAGCAAAGTTGATTCTGCAGTTCCCACCAAGCTCCAGCACTGATTAATTTGTGAAATACAGTGGATTTAAAGGAAGGGAGTAGATGAGGTGCAACCACACACAGTTCAGCAGCTGAGCACATCTGGGAGCAGCAGCTTGTGCTGCACTTGCCCTGTGCCAGCCATGCTGGCAACAACACAAACCTGTGACTGATTTAATTAAAGCCACGTCCAACCCACCCTTTTTGTGATGCACTGGAGTGTGATGTGTCACTGGTGGCTTTTTTGGTTTTTAATTCCTCTTTGGACTTCTGCACCAGGTGCAATGAGCCAATTTACTGCAATTTCTACCTCTGTCACTGGCCAGATGATAAACCCTGTGCCCAGCCTTACCAACCTGGCTATGACATTATTTCACTTGGGTTTTTTTCCTAAAAAAGCTTTACAGTAATTTTTGTTTAGTTGCAGGACAACTCTGGCCTTTTTATTTTCTGCACGTCACTTCCATAGCATCCTCTTTCTTCAGAGGAAGGGGAGACAGGCAGGACACAGCCCAGACTAAATTATTCCTTCTGGAATTAGCCTACAGATTCCTTCATGGCCATATTAAGGTCAAGCAAACAACTGCTAACTCCGGGGAGCCACATCTGAGCTTTCTGAACTTGATGTCTGCATGTGAACTACCTTTTTTTTTTTTTTTTTTCCTTAAAATTAGAATTAAGGGTTTAATACTGCTGTAGAACAAGTGTTTGAATTTCTAAGCTCCCCAGAAAAAATTCAAACAGAGGGTCCTCTCTGATACATCCCCAGCCTGTGACCAGCTATGAGAATTTACTTTCCTCCAAAACACACCACCCTTTGCCACAAGGACAGTATTTTTTCCTCATCCTGCCACCCCTGGCTCCTGGGATCCACACAGAGCTGGCAGTGGCATCCTCCATCCATCCAGCGTTGAAGTTCTTGCTTTCTCATTTTTCCCACGTGCTTCTAAACCGGAAAATCAGCAAATCCAAGCCCTCACATCTCTATCAAATATCAGGTATTGAATCCCCAGCAAAGCTGGCATAGAGGAAGGCTCACAGCAGGGATGGAGCAATTCCCAGGCACCTCAAATGGGAATATCCCACCCCAGGGCACTCCCTGGGTACAATTTTAGGAGCTTCACTCAGGTTCTCACAGATCTCAGATTGAAAAATGTTGGTGATAAACAACTAAAATATTATTGGTTTCCAAAAGGAGTGGTGGGAGTACAATAAACTCTGTTCATTTTGCATGGTAAAAACCTCAGAACAGTGCTTTGGCAACAGGTTAGTTCTTCACAGAACATCCTGGAAGGGACCCACAAAGATCCTAAATCCAACTCTAGCCCTGCACAGGACACACCCTGTGCCTCAGAGCATTGTCCAAACTTGAGCCAAATAAAAAGTGAGGTCACAAAGAAACTTGTTCTGTGGGAGATCTGCACCTCAAGGCTTTACTTTTTTACTTTTCTCCTCTTCTGTTTGGTTTTTGCCTTTTTTTCTTTCCTTAGTAAAGCAAAACCACAAAAAAAATCCCAAACTAACAGAATCAAAACAAAACCCCACAAAAAAGGGGCAAACTGAAACAACAAAAAAGAAACCAAAGAACATAAAAAGCTTCTTGTTGAAGCTGTAGGCTTGCAGTTGGCCATTCCTCACCCTGTGTTTCCAAGGGGCACCCACAAAGCCTTGCCAAGGGAATGTTATCCATGGGTGACATTCATCACCATGCCAGCCCCTGGAACACAGGAATTCCACAGCTGCCCAGAACAGAAGGGCAGGCAGGGGAGAGGGGAGGAGGTGAGCATCAATATTAAAGTAGGTCACTCTTGTGTGTCAGCTTTCCTGCAGTCTTGCAAGGAAAAAAAAGAAAAATATGGGGAAGCTAAATTGATTTGGTTTTGTTCTCTAAGTGCTCTGGGCAAAGCAGAACGTGATAGATCCATTTCAGGCCAGAAAAAAACTGCTTTGGTAGAAGCTGAAAAAAAAATTTAAAAATTGAAAGCTTTGTATGTGGGTATAAAATCATAAAAATACATTTCAACCTCTGGCTGCATTATATTTTAATAAATTTTAATATCTAAAGAGAAAATAGTAGCTACCAGCCAACACTGTAAGACTTAAATGACTTTAAACACTTCATTTTGCCTGTGTTCTGTGAGGTTTTGCTAATCTAGGATCTAATCCTGAATACCACTGCTTCATTTTAAAAGCAGCACACTTAGGAGTGCTGAGATTTCCAGCTCTAAGCCAGATAAATGCACCCTTGTGCTCAATAATATCTGTTCTTTACAAAGATGCAAGCCCAGACGTACACCCAAAGTATGAATTTATTGAAGTTCCTCCCCAGCTCATCGCTTTCCTCTAAAGAAAAGGAGCCCAAAGAAGTTTTTATGTGCAGAGGGCAGGCAGAGCTGCCCCTGGCCAAGGCAGTGGGATCAGGCTGTTTGTAGAGCCCTGGTTAATGCCTGACACTGGAGAAAGCTGCTGCCTTGGACATTGCTCCAAAAAGGAAAAAAAAAAAAAATAAATCAAATTCTGAACATCACAGCAGCTCAGCCTCACTGTAACCTTTTCTTTCTTACCCCGATGATCTAAAGATGAAGATGGTAAAATCACCAAATATTGTATTAGGAAGGCTGCAGTGAGTTGCTTTTTGTAGTATACATATTCCAATTTTTTTTCTGAGATAGAAATAGCCTGCATCAAAGAAGTCCACTGCCAATGCAGGGATCCAAAATCCAAGGACAACGCTGAGCATCCCTGTCACCTTCACAGCTCCTCCACAGCCCTGTTTCTTAGGTCCCAGCCCCTTGCCTCTGGATTTTGTGATCAAAACGTCCCATTTTAATATTACATTAAAATTTAATTTGCAAAATATCCATATTAAAATTTAATTTGCAAAATATTAATATTAAAATATTAATATTAATAAAGTGTCAATTATTATAAAATTACTCTTAAGAGTCATTTCATGTCCCCCTTTACAGAAGCAAATGGGCAGAGCCACAACATCTGGGGGGTTTTGGAAATAAGACTTAAAAAACTAGCTCCCCCACAATTCAGCACTTTGTACGTAAAGGCCAGGAAGAATAAAGACAAACAGCACCTGATGTTGTTGGAAAAGACTGTAAAGAAACAAAGTAATAGCCACAGAATATGCAAAAGGAAATGGAACTTTATTTTTAAATCAGAAAGCTTCCTATTATTAGGTAGTGCTCTGTTTTCAGAAGCCAAAGTTATTTCAAGGCAGTAAAAAAGCAAAGCTGTGAAGTGGTGAGAAAAACACCAGGAAAAATTAACAGATTACATTTCTCTCTTATTAATTTCTTCAACTTTCAGAGCAAAGTCAATTTTCATGAGTTGCTCCTACCATTTTCTTGATGGAAACAATTGGTTTTCCAGAAAAAAAAAAAAAACAAAAACAAAACAAACCAAACTATTTATTAATTTCTTCAAGTTTCAGAGCAAAGTCAATTTTCATGAGTTGCTCCTACCATTTTCTTGATGGAAACAATTGGTTTTCCAGAAAAAAAAAAAAAAAAAAACCAAAACCAAACCAAACTAGCAGCCAAACAAATTAAGTAGGATGGGAGCACACACATATAAAAAAAATTCAGCTTCATTTTCTTTCCTATAAAATTAACCCTCCAGACCTCTGAACTTTCAGATCATACAATATAGCAAGTGATACACATGAACATCTGAAAGAAATAAAAAGTTCTGGAAAGGTTCAAGAGTCAGTAATTTTATTCAGTGACCTTAATTTTTACTATACAGAGTCAAACATAAAAAGAAGTAGTTCCCTAAAGGTGGAATTTTTATTTCTATATATACAGAACTGGAACTTGTCAGGGCTGGCTGGCAAGTTCATTTTAAACTTGTGAGTTTGAGCAGAAGGAATCTGTAGAGTCATCGAGTCTAATTTAATCAGAATGTCCTGGAGCTCAGGAGAGCTGTGGAGACCCAGACTTATTTTTCTGTATTGATCACAAAGCCCAGCACAGAAAATCAAGTGATGTCCTGACACTAGAGGTCAGCAGACCTTTGCTAAGGCAGGGAATTATTAAAATCTCATAAAATCATGGAATTATTTGGGTTGGAAAGCATCTTAAAGATCATTTCACTCCCACCTTGCCATGGCAGGGACACCTCCCACAGTCCCAGGCTGCTCCAAGCCCCAATGTCCAACCTGGCCTTGGACATTCCAGGGATCCAGGGGCAGCCCCAGCTGCTCTGGGCACCTGTGCCAGGGCCTCATCTGAATAAAATAGGATATTTACCCTCCAGTTAATGCTGAAGTAATCTCCACAGCACAGCATAGAAAGATGAGGTGCTGAATGCTCCACAATGAACTCAAGCAGCTCATTTTATTTATTTTTCAGGGAGGGGAGTGCTATCCATTTCTGATTACCCTCAGGATGAAATCAGCAGTTGTGAGAAGTGACCCAACCCACCAGGTTTCCATCAGGAAACAGCTGAGCTGGGAATTTCCTCACCACTGAGTCAAACCTCTGCCTCTCACTGCCCCTATCCAAGCCTGAAGGCACCAGTGCCATGATGGAAATATTCCAGTTTTGCATGGCAATGCCACACTTACCTCTCCATGGTCAACTAAAAAATAATTAGAAAAATGCTACAGTCACAGGATTTTGAAAACCCCAAGGAAAGAGAACTAAACCCCTGTGGTAGGTCTCATTTGGACCTGATTTATCCAGCCAATCTTTCTCTAATACCCAGGAATCCCCAGATTTTGCTTCGATACTAACACAGCCAATTCACTT